CCCCCCCCCCCCCCCCCCCCCCCCCCCCCCCCCCCCCCCCCCGCGCACGTGCACAGCTAGAGCTGGCGGGAGAGGCATATCTGTTGGAGGATAACGCAGGTATCCTAAGATACTGTGAGAGCGCGGCCTATCGATCCTCTAGCATTCAGGACTTCAAGCTAGAGGTGTCAGAAAAGTTACCACACGGGTAACTGGTTCGTGGCAGTTATCATCATCATCATCATCATCACCATCATCTTCATCGCTGCCATCGCCGACGTCATCATTGCCACGGCTCCTCTCCGTCATTGCGCGCATGTCATCCGTTCCACCGGGGGAACGATCGAGAAGACCCTTTAGGGGTTGATTGAAGACCTTCCTCGACTAGGAGGAAGGACCTTGATTGCTCCCGACCGACCGGGAGCGCGGTATTGTCAATCTATCTCCCTCTTACTAATCCCCTCCCTTCCCCTCACTGATCTCTCTCAAAGATCCCATCTTTTTCCTCTTCTTTTACCTCCTCCCTTTCCCCCCTTCTCTCCTCTAATCCCTTGCCTAATTGGTTGCATCATCTAAAATTCCTAACGTGCATGACAGGTATTTTCTGTTTTAGGGTTTGCCTGACAATGCCATCCAACCTGTCATTCGGAATTTCGATCTAATTCGGTAGGATTAATTGTCATTTTCCTTTCTCCAAACGCCGTGATCGAAAGTAATTCCGGCATTTTTCCTCAAAAGTTACGTGAAATTCTTTATTATATCAAATCCCTTCCTTAATTCAATTTAAAATTTGACTTTATCTCAGAAATCCGTGAAATAAATTTCGGAATTTATTAAATTCAATTCCTCTGATGACGAATTCCCTTCTTTTTCCTATCTCCCGTAAAATTCCAAAATTTCCACGTTATTTTTGAAATTCTTTCAAAACTCTTTTGAAATTTCTTTGAAATTCATCTTAATCTTGTAACAAGTCAAGAAATTTTACTCATTTGATTTAGATAATCCTGGATTTTTTCTCAACGTACCTTAAGCGGCTATCACTAATTATTTACGAAATTTCACCGTAAATTCTTAATTTAGGAATTAGTTTTCTACTTTTATTTCAAATTATCTTTGAAATTCTTTTAATTCCGAAAATACGTTGAGGAATTTTCCATTTTATTTCAAAAATTTTCCTATCAACTCGTCTCCACATCTTTCATCATCTCCTTGAACTTTCCAAAATGTTTCCGAATGTTTTTGAAATTCCTTGAATTTTACTTCAATTTCTTCTAAATTCTGAAATTACGTCCAAACATTTTCGGAATTTTATTTTGAACTCGTGATTCTCTTATGCATGCTCCCGAATAGACCCCAGACTATTCTTAGAAAATTTCCTCTCACTGTCTCCCCCGAATTGGAAATTTTCCTCTTTTTCCCTCAATCCGACTTTGAATTCCCTTGATTTAATTTTGGAAGTTCGTTAGACCTCATTTATACTCGCCTTCCCCTTGCAGTCCCTTAATCCTCTTTCTGCGTACCAACCTGGCTCCCCGTGACATCCATCAGCGTGCACTCCAAAATCGCGCTCGGGACGCTCGCGCCGCAAACCGACTTGCTCGCTTTGACGCACCGATTGCTGCCACTGAGCGCCCCTCTCGTCACAGTCCCCCCTCTACACCATCTCCATCTTCTTCATCTCTTGATTCCATGCAGAGGGCAGAGTCCCTGACCCCGGATTGC